CCTAGTCCTGAAGCCCAATATCCACCATCCTAAAAAAGCGTCCAAATGTGAGTCTCGTGGCAGAGGCTGTGTTCGTGGATATAGTGGGACGGTGAGAGGTGAGTTTTACAAACAAAGAGAAAACATATTTTCTGTATAGGGACCGAAATGTGTGTGTGTGTGTGTATGTGTGTGTGTGTGTGTGTGTGTGTGTGAGAGAGAGAGAGAGAGAGAGAGAGAGAGTGTGTGAAAGAGAGAGAGAGGTTTTGTTTGTGAGTGGGAAAGCTTTCCATTTCGCTGCAGAGCGTGTTCAGATAATATTAGTGAGGTGTCCCATTCATCTAGTAGACCAGAACTGGTTTTAATTCTTCTCTGCACTGTTAGGACTTAATAAATTGTTCACAGCAGTATTCCAGAGGTGGTAAGACATCGTTAGAGCTTGGAATATTAACTGTCCCCGACAGGTTCATTTGTGAGGCATTCCCAGCTGGTGGTACTGTTTTGGGAGATCCTTAAACCCTTCAGAGGCAGTGCCCAGCCTGCAGGAGTGGATCAGAAAGGTACATCTCTGCAGGTTGGAGTTCGGTCCCTCGTTGTAGCCACACTGCTTCCTGATCTACTGTGTGACAAGCCTCTGCCACATACTTCTACAGCCAGGCCTTCCCCATCACCATGGCCAGAGAACCTCTGAAGCAGTCATCCGAAGCAAACTCCCACTGCCAAGTTGTTTCTGTTGGACCTTTCAGTAACAGCAGCACAAAAGTAGTGGTGCTGAGATCAAGCACACTCATTGCTGCAGTGTCTGCATTTGCACAGCGTCTGCATGCGCACAGCGTCTGCATACGCACAGCGTCTGCATGCGCACAGCATCTGCATGCGCACAGCGTCTGCATGCGCACAGCGTCCGCATGCGCACAGCGTCCGCATGCGCACAGCGTCTTCATGTGCATGTTGTGGTCCTGAGCAGACATAATGGACAAAGATGCCTTTAGAGCAGTGGTTCTCAGTCTTCCTAGTGCTGCCACCTTTAATGTCCTCATGCTGTGTTGACTCCCAAGCATAAAATTATTTTCTTTACTACTTCATAACTGTAATCTTGCTACTGTTATGAATCATCATTTAAATCTCTGTGTTTTCTGATGGTTCTGGTTGACCCTGTAAAGAGTTGTTCAACCCCCAAAGGAGTCACTCACAGGTTGTGAACTGCTATGTTAAAGATTCATGGGTAAAGGTCATTATGCTCATACAATGTACACAAACACACACACATACACACACATACACACACACATACACACACACATACATACACACACATACACACACATACACATACATACACACACACACACACACATACACATACATACACACACACATACACACCAAACAAACAAACAACACCTTTCTCGTTTTAATTTCCTGTTACGTTTTCCTTCTGTTTGGAAGCTTCAGTACCAGTGCCTTTACTTTGAGCCAAGATGTTCATAATTCCTCCCTAGAGAGAACACTAAAGCAGGCACCATGAACTCGCCTCTCTGTTTGCTAAGATATCCCCTTTAATTCAAAAACAACCCCTTTACTTTGGAAATGTGCTTTTCCTGGCTTTAGTTGTTTGCTTTTAATGTGGGTTTAACATCAACCTATCTGTTTCCGTGGTTGAACTTTTTAAACTTTTAACTTTTTTTTTAACTTTTTAAAAATGAACTTTTGAAACCAGTAGAGAGGATTCTAAATTACTGGTGCCAGTAGTGACCATAGAGATACTGCGTCAAGTCTACTGGCATTTCAGTTCTTACTAGTACCATGATGAAAGGAATAGTTCAGTGCTGTACCACAGAAATACAACCGAAATGGAATTTTTAGAAGAAGAAGCTGCCAAAATTAATTATGGTAATCTACTTTATTTCACCTAATTTATAAAATTATCATATACGCCAGGCATTGGTGGCGCATGCCTTTAAAATCCCAGAACTCGGGAGGCAGAGGTAGGCAGATCTCCGTGAGTTCAAGGTCAGCCTGATCTACAAGAGCTAGTTCCAGGACAGATTCTAAAGTTACAGAGAAACCCTGTCTCTAAAGAACAATAAAATAAAATAATAATTATACTGCAACCAGGGTAAATACAGTAATGACATAACCTAATAACCTCATCATCATCACACAGTTGACCATGTCTAATATAAAACTGGGAACCCTGAAATGCTCCAAAGTCAAAAGCTTTTGAAAATCATGTTAGCTCTGAGCATGTTCAGACTTTCAGTTTAAGTGTGCTCAATCAGTAAGCCGATGCAAATATCCCCAAACCTGAAAATCCGGAAAGCTGAGCACTTCTGGTCCCAAACATTTGGCATAAGGGTTACCCAACTGGGATTAAGTCTTTCAACCTTAGTGTGTATTTTCTATTTATAGACTGTTTCAGTTTAGGGCAGCCCCAGTTCAAGAACCCAACAGCAATACATGACTAACATGTTGGATGGCATAACTATGCTTTAAGAAGTCCAGTCCTGGTGCCACAGCTAACTAGCACCGCCTCAGGAGAAGTTAAGGAGAGAAAAACAAACTTGATTGGCAGAAGGTGGGGAAATTTTTGGTGGCACACACCAAAAGCACGATGATTTCGGCTAACTCTGGCTTTAGAATAGGTAGGTACAGGTGCCATGGAGTAGCCCTAACTGATCTTGTTCATGGATGCAAGGGTGGGGTTTTAGGACAGCATTGAGCCTGTGAGCTCCTGCAGAGACACACACTGAGCAGCGTGCATCTTGCTGCTGCCAAATTTGTCCAGACTTAGGGCTGGGCCCACTGCTGGCTGCCTCCTTCCACCCCTTGCCTGTTCCTCTTTGAAAGCAATTTGCCCTGCAGGCTGTTTATGACGTGTCTCAGGCAGCTGCTGGCTTGGCAGCTTCTAGAGGACCGCAGTGTTTACCAGGCAGGTACGAAACCACAAAAGTTAGCTGCTTTATCAGAGATCTGGGCATTTGGGAGTTGGTGCTCAGCCTTTGCTTAGTTCTGCCACCTTCCTCCAAACAGTCCCACAGACAGGCTCAGAAAGGCTGGTACATTTCCTTGAACTAACACAGCAAAGCAGTGGTAGCTCCCGATCCCTCGACAGTTCTGCTTCTAAGCCGAATGGGACAGTTTAGGGTGGAGAGAGTGACCCGTCACAACCCACAAACTCCTGACAGGCAAAAAAATTCCAGCAAAGAAAAAACTTGGCTCCGTGGTTGGGGAGATTCCAACTTCACACTCGGATCTTCGTGACTATAGACTTTCTACAGTGTTTCCAAGTCAGCCCGAAAGATGACCGCTAAAGACTAGAAAAGACACACATGGTCAGGGTTTATGGAGTGGACTATTGGGTTCAGAATCCAGAGAAAAGAGAGAACTTGGAGGGGCACTGTAGAGCCAGCTGCTAAGTTCATTAATAAATGTCTTTGGGAGAGCACTTAGAAATGCGGGATCATAACATCCAAACAAGAATTTGAACATAACATAGAAACCAAAACCAGATCATATATTACTAATCCTCAAAAAGTCATGCCCCTATCTGTAGAGGTAACTGGAGTTTAACCTTAAAAGCATCACTTAAGGGGCGTGTGTAAGCCCACGGGGTTCCTGATACCCTTTCCTCCCCAACCCTTCCCAGAATGGTCACATGATTTCGTTGTGAATCACAGCACCTGTCTACTTGCCAGAAGTAAAGCTTCCTCCCGCCTTATCATCCTTCGCTGCATCCGCTCTCCTGACCACCTGTGATAAGACATGTCATCCACTCTCCTCAATTCTCTGCCTTCTCTTGATGTCTGACGTCATATGAGAGTATCCAGCCAGGGGTTGTGGAACACACTGGTCCCATCTGAGGAGCTTAAAAAAAAGACAATTTCTGGCCTAACATTTCCTGTGGGTTGGGAAGCCAGGCACAGCTTATCCGACTCATTTGTATTGGGATGTCTCTCAAGCTCAAGGAGGCTCTGCCTCTCCCAGCTAAGGCTGGGACTATTCACAGGCTCAGGGACTGTGGATGGGATTCGGTTTTTTGAGGGCAGTTGGACTGCTCCGTTCCTTGAGATGTGGGCCTCTCTGCATGGATTTCATCAGGGTAGAGTTAGCAAGCAAGGACAGGGAGCAATGCCAACAGTCTTCTGCAGCACAGTCGTGGAAGACTCCTCTCGTTACTTTAGCTACGCTCTTTGGCTAAAGAAAGTACAGCAGCCCTTTGTGAGGAAAGGGGTTTATTCAAGGGTAGTGAGAGCAGGCTGTGCAGTCTGTCCCCGGCAGAAATTGTGTGCCGTGTCTAGTGGCATATCTACTCCCTCTAAATGCCCCAAGAAGGAATAGCCACACTGACGTTCACACTTTCCTAGACTCTTGCCTCTTACACTCACTTCAGAGAATGGAACACTTAAGATGGCAGATATAAGAAGCTGAAGGTTCCCTCTTCTTCTTTGTATACTTAGGCTTTTCACCACAAAGCAACCAGGATGGAGTTCCTGAAACTCAGGTCTGATCATGACAGGCCCCTGCTCAGAATCTTTCTGTGGTCCATGCTGTCCTTAACCCATCCTACCATGGGTCTGGAGGCCTGGTGTCCTGGTCTGGGCTTCCCTGTCTGGTCTTACTGTTCTTACGTCACCTCGAGTTGACTGTGTGTCGTCATCCATGTTTCTACTCTGTGTATTCTTTGTAGCAAGCTATTTCTCTCCCCATCGCTCGATCAAATATCGTCTTCTTCAAGCCTCATCACCCCCAGATAAATGAGCACTCCTCCTCTCGTCTAGAGTGTTCAATGGGGGAGAGAGAACGCCAGCAGTTTATCACTGTCCCGGTTCATCATTTCTGTGATGAAACGCCATGACAAAAGCAACATTGATGGAAGTCAGGACAGGAACTCCAACAGGCCAGGAACCTAGAGACAGGAGCAGAGACGCAGTACCCGGTGCAGAGGCTATGGAGTGTGCTGCATAGTGGCTTGCGTTCCATTGCTTGCTCAACCTGCTTTTTGTTTTTTTTAAATATAGAACCCAGACCACCAGCCCAGAGATGGTACCACCCACAGATGGCTGCAACCTTCCCCATCGATCACCGACTAAGAAAATGCCTACAGGCTTGCCTACAGCCCGACGTAATAGAGGTATTTTCTCAATTGAGTTTCCTTCTACTCAGATGACTTTAGCTTCTGTCAAGTCGACATAAAATCTTCAACACAGTTTATCCCTCTGCCCTTAGTCTCTTGCATTGTATCTGGTGTCAGTCAGCATTATGGTTGACAGAACATTTTGGGAGATGATAACAAAAGTTCCAAAGGCCAAAGGGCCCTGGGTCTCACTAGATGCAACACTTGCTTCTTTACACTCGACTCTTGGCCCCTTCCACATTAGAGGGAAACCCTCCCGAGAAAAGAAAGGGGTGACATCATAGTTTTGGGTTACTACATTTCTAGGGCTCCAAAATGGGTGGAGATGTATTTATACCAACAATGAATAGTATCATTTTTAAATGAAAGACTTAAGAGTTTTGAACAACAACAACAAAAAGATCACGCATTATTCCTGAAAATAGCTCAAGTCAACACAGATTAACATGCAGGATGCTGGGTGTTTTGCATGTAGTCGTCACCCATATCACATTGACAACATTGTAAATATATATCATTATTCCTATTTCACAGATGAGTGGACACAAACCAGGGAGGTACCGGTGCTTATCCACAAAGGAGACAGATAAGCTAGTGTAAACTGAATTGAACCAAAATAAAGATGAGTGCTACAATTTTTGAAGCCTTTAGTATATACCGTACTTTTGCCAGCTCTGAATATTGGTCCTCTCATTTCACCTTCCTTGAAACCATCAAACTCAGATACAATTATCTTTGAATCAAGGTGAAAAAAAATAGTTAAAGAGTTTGTGAATATTGTCTCTGATTATGTAGCTAGAAAGAGGCAAGCATTCATATTCTTTTCCAGTACATATCTTATTGCAGTGACATTTTAATAAAGAATTCGATTTTCAGGTATGAACTATTTTAGCACAAACGTTAGAACTCCAGGCCAATAATAGTGGTGAAGGCTAGCCTTTTATTTTTGATTATTTTCCTAAATAATGACAGTGGCATAAATATTTAGAAGATTTGAAATTATCGCTTTAAGACAAGCAATGAAATATCTTACAGTAAACTTGAACTCTTCTTGTCAGAGAAATCAAGGCTAATTTAAAGCCAGTCATGAAAATGTCACTCGTGCGCATGTACGTCCACGAAGGGCAACATGCCAATATAGAAGGACTTGGGAGCGTTTTTATTTCCTGCTGTCTTGAAAGCAATTACTAAACCATAACTGAGGATTTTATGTCTCCTGCTGGCCTTTCACTTGCATTATGTAGCTGATGGCAGTGACGTTAAATACTGTGAATATCATGGTCTTTGAGAGTGGGCCCCCATACCACATATTTTTCTGTTTCCCAGCTATAGTGTGTCCTCTCTCCCTTCTTAATTCCACACTAGGATCTGATCCCAGGCCTGTCTGGTATACAAACCTGTGTATTACCATCACACAAACCCTTCTCAAGATCTGTTGTTCTACCAATTCAGGCCACTGGATTGAGCACGAAGCCTGGAAAAAAAAGTTGTCACTCACATCTGAAAGTTGTGTACTTGCACAAGGGAAGCCCACAATAGTCTCTCTGGATCAAAAAAAATCATTCCACCAGTTTCTTTGAATCCTTGAGGGGTAATTGAATAGAAAGACTTCCCAAGTTTGAATCTGTCTAGGAGTTGGTAGGTTTGGTTTATTCCTTTGTTTCGTTTCTTTGGTTTTGTTTTCTGACAGGCTGTTTATTATGTAGCCCTATTTGAACTTGAACTCACTATGTGGACTGACCTAGAACTCATAGAGAACAACCTGCTTCCCGAGTGCTGGATTTAAAGCTGTGCTGCCGTGTCCAGTCCAGTGGTTTCAGAAGCAGGCTGCACGTTCCCATAAGCCTGTGTTTCCCAGAGCCATCATAGACCTGTGGCTTTAGGCACGCCGGGGCCAGGGCTTAGAAAGCTGTCTGAACAAGCCCCTGAAGGATTCTGGTGACTAGCCAGACAAAAGTGACCAGTTCTTCTGCTCTGCTAAGCACCTGCTGTAAAACAGAACCCGACCCCATGAAGTCTCTTGCTGTTGGCTTCATAAACCCCAAAAGAATGCCGTGGTGGTAGATGGTGACTGGGTATAAAGAAGTTTGGCCCAAAGCAAGATTTTCTGTTTCTCTAAATAGGTCCATCATTTACCTAGACTCTTGAGTACCTAAACCTACTCTTCACTTGATTAAACCAAGATACACATTCATTGCTGCTTATCTCTGTGAAATGCCTTTCCAAGCATTAAATGCAAGACAAGGATGAGGATAATGGCAATGGTGGTGGTGGTGGTGATCTGAGAAGGAATGTGTTATCTACAGCTACTTTGGGGATATATAGCATATGCGTTATATGATCTTTAAGCTCAGCCGCCCTGGAAGATATGTCTCCATTTTTTCACATGTGAAAACTGAGTCAGAGTTTGAGGTGTTGGTAGGGGCAAGATTCAAATCCACTTTCTAGAGACTCCTACCCCAGTTTCTTATTCTCCGGTGGCTGAGTCATTTTGGATGAATTGCTGAGGCTCTTGGTGCCTTTACCTCTGCATATGTGGAGGGAGAACAACCAATTCATAAGGCTGTTGCTTAAATCCAATAAACTGAAGTATGTGAAACAAAAGCACGGGGCTCTGAAATATCATCATAGTTATTTGGTAAACCATAGTTTCCCAAGGACGTCTTGGAAAATGTTTGCTCATTCTCAGTAAACAGGTTGCAGATAATTTCAGCATTGGCAATTCTCACCGCTCATTAGTACAGTAAAGACGGCAAATCAGCCTGCAGTTGAGCACCGTCTGCTTTACCCCAAGCTAGAGGATAGGATTAGCTAGTATTATTATTTTTTTAATCACTTAGCTTGTACTTTCCATCCGTCCAAGAAAGAAAGGGAGCCCTTTCTGCCTGACTTGGAGTGGAATTACTTGGGTAATCACCCTTTTCCCCTTTGTGCTTGGGAAAGGCTCCTACTGCAAGAATATACCATTAAGTTCTTGCTTTGATTTTGGTTGTTAATCCCATGGCCCAGCTTGACATTGTCTCTTAGCAACCTCCTGTCCTTTTCCCCTTTTCATTCTCGGATCTCTAACAACACTTCCTCTCTCTGGTTTTTCTTCAGCTGGCCTGTGGCTTTCAAGGCCCCTTAAGCCTAGTGTACACAGATAAGTGGGAGCCGAGGGCCCGTGCACATGTTTATGTTAATAGTCGAGGGGAGGAACATGCTGTTCTGGAAGCTGCTTTCCAACTGTCCCATAAATCAGTCAGGAGGAGGGGGAAGGGTTACTATTTTCACAAAGACACTGCCGAGCAGAGCAGCGGGTCTTGGCCATGCGTCAGCGCCCAGCCCCACTTCCCCAGAGCTGAGCTTTCTGTAATGTTGCCTGCGTTCCCCACTGTTCTGTAATGCCACAGGGGTTGACTGACTTCATAGACACAGAGGATTTCCAAGTCAGAAGAGACCTTTGAGATCATCTACGACTCAGTCAAATGGAAACTTCCAGTAAGGGCCTATTCCTGGACACTTTCTCTGGGGATTCAGGGACAGTTGTCCAGACTGGGGCATATGACAGTCATTTAATGACCTTAGGAAGCCCTGACGTAGTGGGGGACTCCAAGGTCCGGAGTGCTGGGACTGAGAGTGACGTGGAGAGCTACCACGGACAGGAGTATTCTCTTCCGCCATGAAGTGCTGTAACCGAGTCCCAGAGCAGAGTGGTGGGAAGATCCAGGCAATGTTTTCTGCAGTGCTGTGCACCCAATCACACGTGGAGACACGCAGATGTGCCCTCACTTTCTCAGTCCATTGGACTTGATGAACTAGATCCTCCTCTGAAGATTTTAGAGACTTAGCAGAAAATCTTTTTAGCAATATTAAAATATATTTTTATGAATTACATCAGTTACAGCAGGTCAGAAAGAACCCCAGTTCTGGAGTTAGAACTGAATCTATTAAATCCGGACTCCATGAAATCCAGTGTGTTAGGGTTCAGGAATCATTGTTCCCTTAAAGTTCCTTGTCCCTGTTTGAGAAGTCTTGGAATGTTTGAGAAATGGAGGCATAATGGTTGGTTAAATTATGGAGGCTCAATTCTTTGTGATGTGTGTGTCTCTGTGTTTATGCATGCGTATATTTTTCTGTATGGTTGCCCACCCATGCACACATGTGAACATGTTCATGACAGTTAGAGGTGAATTTTGAGTATTTTTTTCTATTGACTTCTACCTTATCTTTGGGGATAAGGTCACTAACTGAGCCTGGACCTCGCTGATTCAGCTGGCCTTTGTGACGAGGCACCCCATGAATTCTTCTGTCTCCCCAACACTGGGATTACAGGCATAATATTTGCTACTGGGAATCTGAACTAGGTCCTTTTGTTTGTGAACATGTAGTTTCCCAGGTGAGCCTTCGCCTTAGGCCTACATGTATTCCTAAAGGTACGGACGCCCATCTGTAGCTAGGCTAAGTCTCAGGGAACTGAATTGGTTTCTACAGAAGGACATCAGGTTCCTTACCTACATCATCAATATCAAAGCTTCATGATATAGGATGCAAAGACGTCCTATTCAACACTGTATCCACAGTGGCTGGCATAAAGCTGGCGTTCAATCAATGCTGGTTAAACAAGCAAATGGCTGGATAAGTGACCAATACATATAAAGTACCTGGCACATCAACAAATGTTAGTTTTAACTACTTTTAGAAAGCTGAAGCTTCTTCCCCAAAGAAGTAAAACATCCCAGAATTGAGCTGGGTTCAGGCTTCATTTTTAATACATTCTAGTAATCTACCTTAAGGTTTACGTATGAGTGGAAGGGATGTAGGAAAAGGTGACAGCTGCCTTCCCCACTAGCCGGAAACTCAGGTGACTCTTGCACATCCCCAGCCTCAGGGATGCAAGCGTGCATGAGCACACACACAGTTCCAGATGATGATGTCTGCTGTCATGGAGAGCCTTGTTCTGGGTTTGAGAAAATGTGGAATCACCGGGTGCTTAAGGCCAGTGACAATGATTCTCA